AGAGAGAGAGAGAGAAAGAGAGAGAGAGTATGTTTGCCTTCAGTGTGAGTACGTATATAAGTCCGACTGTGTGTTTGCCTGGAAACTGACATGTCCTATTGTCGTGACTTGCAGGGATTGCATTATGTAAAATTTGGTTTTCCTGGTGTACATCATCTTCTTCTTCTTATAATCCTCGATCTCTCATTTGAAGTTCATTTATTTCTTTTTGCTATTGTATGTCATTGTAGCATTAGATGTGTGAAAAAAATGATTTTAATCCTCGCTCTCACCACCCGAGTTCAAAAAACTGACATAAGATACCATCACATGTGTGAAAAAAATAATAATAATAAAATATTATATATATATATATTTATATATATATATATATATATGTATATATATATATATATATCACAAATCAATCAATCAATTTTTTTTTGGCACTCACACGCATAAAATCTCAAAAACGCCCACACATGCATAAGAAGAGGGGAAGAGGTGACAGAGTTAAAACTGCACACAGACAAGGATAAGCAGCGGAATTCAACCATGCACACATGGGGGAGGTCAGACAATGACTCTCACTCTCCAACAGACTCCCAACAAACAATCACAATAAAGAACCTCAGCAAGATCACAATTCATATGATGTTGATGATGAGCCAACTCGAACGAATATCATAACAGAGTTTGTTCCAGTCCCTTGTTCCCCAATCGATTTCCCTCCTTCTACTAATAGAGTACATTAATCTAACCTACACCTATACCAGACTGACTAACAGACCAACACCGTTGCAGTTTCGGCCTCTCGGCCTGTACCGAACCCGACTATAGGCTATAGAACCGTCTATCAGCTTAGGCCATTAGGGCCTGTCTGTCCTAGGGGTAGTCCGGGCCTGCTATTCGCAGCAAGGGTACGTATAGGAAATTCGAAATACTGCTGGGCCTATATTTTTCATATTTACCGATATGGCCCTCACGAATTTTCCTCACAGGTTCATCTCACGATTAGCCCTCAGTCGAACAAAAATACAAATGTAACCCTACGGGGTAGTATACAACCTCGCCATCAGTCTTGGAAGTCAAACTGAGCAAAAATAGATATATATATATATATACAAGTAAAGAGACGGACATAATGTAGCGTAACAAACAAGACACCATGAAATGTGTGTGAACAACGTCATGCTCAATGAAATTCAGATCACCAGACCGATGTCAGGTCAACGATAAAGCCATTTAACCAGTCAAACGCTGAACAACTCTATATCGTTACCCTCAGATTCGGAGCTCGATGTCTGGACCCAATCATCGCATGCAGGCACCGCATCGTCCTCCACGTGCCCGATGATGAAAACATGGTTCTCCCCCACCGCCTCATGGTCGGAATTTGAGGCAGCATCATCAACAACTTCCACTGCGTCGCCCCCACCGTTGACGAACAAATCACGCGGCAATGGCCCGACTCCATAAGGACAAACCTCCTGCCGCAGAAGCTCTCGAGCCCCAGTCTGAAACATGAGCCGAACCGAACACTGACTCCGCCAATCTGTCCTCCCAACAGTCGATCGCCTCGTGACCGTAGTGTCGACGGAAGCCTGGTCTCGCATGTATGGAAGTGCCCGCAGCAATGCGAGCAACATACCCGACCGGGTCGCACCAGCAGTGACTGTTCCACCGAATCACTGCGATCGACAAACGTGCACAGAAAGACTTCTCAAAATGCACCGACTTCTTCGCATAGATAATGATGGTGCCCTGAAAAGTCTCCACCGCCGATGTATGCAGAAACTCGACGTAGTACGGCGTGATGTTAGTGTTGCATTGTTTATTGAGAACACGCAGAACGAGCTCGTAGACCGTGTCCGTGCAGCTATACAAAGGCAATCGTGCACGCCCACAGGCCTTCTCGCACAGAACCTCCCTACCGTCCACACATCCCGAATGATCACCAGCCCAATGATCGGCGACCAACATGATGTGGCGGTGTAGACTGTCGGCGTCTCCGCCCTCCTCCCTGCACAGCTGGCAAGCGCGGAGGAACCACATCCCAACCTCATGCGCATGATACTCTGTCAAGCCGTCTGGATCAGTCTCCAACGCTCGAGCATTCAACCTCGATCCGTAGGGGTACATCTTTCGCATGACGACAGCAACGAAGTCCGATTTCTTCAGGCGCTCCTCAACAGGTGTGAGGATGTCAGGTCCAAAACGCTGCTCCAACGCCTCCTTTAGCCGCTTCTTCGTGAACTGCATGAACTGCGATCCATCATGAGACTCACCCAACCCTCCGCTCGCTGAACCCTGCGAACCCCCCTGACCATAGTCAACACCGGAATCGCCTGGCATATAACACAACGTGAAATCTCGACCGCACACCCGAGATGGCAACGAAGAAGAAATCACATCTCCTACCTCGTCTCCAAACTCCCGGCCCGCTTGGATGGCAGGCAAGGACCAGTGCAGCAGCCGATCAATAACGTCGCTGACCGGTCCACAATGGTCACCCAGACCGGCCATAGCGTCGCGGAGAGCGTACAACCGTCTCCGACACGCGTCCCACACACACACTCGCACGATGTTGTTGCCGCCCGAACACGGCGTGCCGCCGAGTGCCGCTGAGCCATCCTCATCGTTCAACGGAGGTGTGGAATCTGGATCGACAAAGGGAGCCTGAGGCGGCACCGCAAACAAACCCGTCGCCTCGTCGACGTGAAACGGGTGAAGAACGCAAAGCGTCGCTACGATCTCCTGGAAGAGAACCGCCTCCAGCGGGACATGGCGGGGCCACCGCATATGACCATACAGGTGCCAAAAGAATCGTGGCCGCATAGTCCAGCCGTCTAGGCAGCAATGGGGATGGCAGCAACGGAGCACCGTACACACCTCCAAACGTGGCCGCGTCACGAAACCCGGCCACACCCGGCGGAGATGCCCCCAACACACCAGCGAAAGGCGAAATGGGTGTCACGCCCGCGCCAACGACGATGTAAGTCGCATGCGAAACGGTACCGCGGCGCCGTTTCCCCAAACGGACCTCCGGACCACCGTTGTGCGGTGAAACACCCAACAACCCCCGCGCTGGACATGGAGATCGATCGACGCTATGGCGAGGATCGGGGGTACCCTGCGGAGATCCCTGAATGGGCGATGATCGAGCGGGGACAACGTCTCCGCCTGTCAATGACATTGTCAATGTCAGGGTCTGCACAGCACCGAGAGTCAGACAAGCACGAAGTAAGGACTCAACGGAAACGTGTGTGTGTGTGTGTGTGTGTGTGTGTGTGTGTGTGTGTGTGTGTGTGTGTGTGTGTGTGTGTG